TTAATCTGACAGATTAACAGTGAAATGCCGCTCCCTCCCTCGGTCCTCCTATTTCTCACTGCAGCTATGTTTCCTGAGCAGCCTGGAGTCTGAAAATCCAAGCCCACAGCTGCTGCATGAATACGGCCGTTCTCCCGTGTGGACCTGCATGTGAAACTTGACGTGTCCGAGCTGCCGGAACCGGGCGCCGCAGACCTCGCACTCGTAGGGCCTCTCCCCTGTGTGGATCCGGAGGTGTCTGAGGTAGTTTGTGTATATCCTGAAATCCTTGCCGCACTGCTCGCACCTGTGCGGTTTCTCCCCAGAGTGTTGCAGTTTGTGGGACTTAAGGGCCTGGCGGATGATGAAGCGCTTCCCGCACACGTCACAAGCAAACGGGCGCTCTCCAGAATGGATCCTGCGGTGGTATTCGTAGGTGGCCTTGTAGAAAAATGACTTGTGGCACTGGTCGCAGGTGTACTGCGTGGCGCCCGTGTGGATGAGCTCGTGCCTCTTCAGCGAGGTGGCTGAGTCGAAGCCTTTGTGACAGGTGCTGCAGCTGAACGGCGTCACGTCCACCGTTGTTTTGTCTTGCCGGTAGATAACCCTGCGCCGGCCTCGCTCCAGACGTGGCCTTCTTAACGCCTGCTTCTCCTCGTGAGCGGATTTCTGATGCTTCTTCAGCTGACAGTTGTAGAGAAACGTCTTTCCACACAAATCGCACATGAAGGCCTTTGTGGCTCCGTGGAGAAGCATGTGCGCCTTCAGCTTGTTATCCTGCGTGAAGCTCCTCCCGCAGACTTTACAGGCGAATGGTTTCTCCCCCGTGTGAATGCGGATGTGTCTCCGGAGATTCTGCCTGAGGGTGAATCCCGCTCCGCACGTCTCGCACGTGAACACCTTCCCTTTGTGGACCGCCTGGTGCGTCCTCAGCGACCGCCTGCTGGAGAAAGCTTTGCCGCACACCACGCAGGTGTAAGGATGCTCGCCGGTGTGAACGCTCCGGTGGCACTGCAGGCTGATGGCGTATCTGAAGCCCTCCCCACACTCTGAACACTTGTGAGGCTTCTCAGCCAGGTGCACGGCCTGATGGGCCTGCAGGTTGTGCTTCGTTTTGAAGCCCTTCCCACAGGTGCTGCAGCTGAAAGGTCGGCGGTCGGTGTGGACGAGCTGATGGGTCTTCAAGTTCATTTTCGTCTTGAAAGTCTTCTCGCAGTGCTGGCACTTGTAGGTGGTGTACTTCTTCTCTTCGTGGCGCAGCAGGTGGTGCCCCAGGTTTTCCGCATTCCTGAATTTCCTGGCGCACTGATTGCAGGCGAACGGCCTTTGCTCTTTGTGAGTGTTCATGTGCTTCATCAGGTGAAAGCGACGGTTAAAGCTCTTCCTACAGAGCTCACAAACAAACACTTTTCCTTTGGCTTTGACAACGCCGTCCTGACTGATTTGGGGTTCAGACTTTTCCATTTCAGGGATTTTGGTTGCAGAAGAATCCTCTAAAACACCTAAAAAGGAAAGAGAGAAAAACAAAACATCTTTAATTCAAAAGATTGAATCCTGACAGGTTTATTTCATATTTCTAAAGTTACTCCTGAGTTTTAATCTTTAACTATATAAAAAAAAAAAGAATTCATCAAATTGTTGTTCAGTAATTTCCAAATAAGTTGGAGTCAAACATTGAAACTATACATATGTATGGATCAGGTTCCTATTTAACTGTGGAGAAACGTGGGTTCCAACAACTTATTAAGCAGCTAAACCCAAGGTTTGCTCTTCCCTCCCGTAATACAGCATTTATTTTTGTTTGTTAGCTGGTTTGGCTAGTGTCATTATGCATCGCCAAGGAAGGAACACTTCTGGTTAATTTTTTAACAGACTTGCTTAATATTGTGCACAGCATACTACCTCAAATATTGTTCTTTTTTGTATATATTGTATTTTATTTATTAATAAAAATATTTCTGTTCAATTTTGGGGTCTTTGTTATTGTCCTTATGGTATCGAGAGTGGTATCAAATATTTTTCTGAATATCGGTATCGAGTTGAAAACTTTACTATCGTGACAACCCAAACCCTTAAGGGCAGATTATACTTCTTCACATCAAATGTCGCGTGGGTCTGGTCGCGAACCAGTTTTGCTGGTATGCTTCTGCACCGTTGGTCGGGAATTTCTAGGGACACACAGCAGTCAAAACGCAAGGGACCAGAGAACTTCGTCGGATGGTCATGAGAACTTCTTCAGCGGCGCCGGCGGGAGTGTTTATTTTCCAGAATAACAATGGCAGGTCTGCAAGATATCACGGTCACGGAGATGGAGCTAGAGTATCCATTGTAGTTGTTCTTTTTTTTAAATGGTGCTCCCAGGCTGGGAATCCAGAAGGAAAACCACAAAGACAGCCGGAAAGGCAATCACAGCAGCTTTTTGTCTGCGCACTTCCGCTTGAAGTCTATGCGAGTTTGCGACCGTCCGACGTGTAGTCAGGATCTTTTTGGGGTGCCTGACAGCGGTAACAGAACCTCTTTGAGGGGGTGTGGTCGCGCAGAGACAGATTTGACGGTCGAAGAGGCTATGCATCAGAACCCTAGAGATGAACTTTGACCCAAACTGAATCAACAGGATAGGAATTCAAAACATAGCAGATCAGAATCACAGTACGGCGGGGGTCCAGTCAAGGTCCGGACAACTGTTGAAGGAAAATGCAGTAGTTACCCTTGAGGGCAGATTATACTTCTGCACCAGCACATATCCAATGTCGCTTGCGTCTGGTCGCAAACCAGTTTTACTGGTATGCTTCTGTAACGTCGGTCTGGAATTTCTAGGGACGCACAGCAGTTTCCCACCAAAGCGCAAGGGGGAGCCTATTCCAGAACTCGCCAGAACTTTGGCGGATGGTCACGAGAACTTCTTCAGCGGGAGTCTTCCAAAACATGTCTGACGCATCGTCCAAGTGGTTGTACTTCCGCACCTCCTCAATCAACCTTTCGTTGTGGTTATCCACTCTTGTACCCCGACCCTCCGACATGTAGTCAGGATTTTATTGAGGAGCGCGACGACGGTTGCAGAACATCTGGGCAGGGGGGTGTGGCCACGCACAGAGGCAGAGGCTATGCATCAGAAGTATAAACTGGCCTTTAGAAGACACTTTAACTCCTGCAAAGGTCAATGAACTGAAGCAATGCTGGAAAGTTTAGTGGAAGGAAAATTCTCCACAACAATGAGGACTACTTTGTATTTTTCTTTCTCAAAAGGTTTGATATAAATAATTTCCCAACCTGGTAAAGACCAACTCAGGTTATCAGACGCTGATGTGTGAAACCCAGGATAATAAAAGAGGTTTTAGTTTCTTTTTAACTTGACTGAGAATTATTTTCCTATTAACCATTTCAGAATAACCTGACCGTGTTCAGCAGGACGGGGTGAAGGCATCCATTCCATCCTCTCTGCACGGTCTGAAAGTTAAGTTAGGAAAAAAAAAATAAGCAAAGTTTCAGCGATAATAAAAAATGCAATCAGATAGAAAACAGGAAATGCGTACATATGTGGAACTTTGTTCTTATCAAAACTGACCTTCCGCTTCTGCAGCAGGATCTACGCCCCCCAGCGAGCCGTCGTCCGTCTTCCTGTTCAGCCTCCCGAGCGGCTTCAGGGTGAAGATCAGGCCGCTCTGCTCAAACAGCACCGGGCAGCCATTCAGCACGTTCTCCCTCCACAGCCTGGCGTTTTCCAAACTTTCAGACACGCTCCTCAGCTCAGCCTCCACCTGCTCCAGCCGCGCCTTCAAGGCAGAGTTTTCATTGAGCAGCAACAAGGAGAGCTGGGAGAAAACGCTGCTGATCTTTCTGGCTGCCTCCTCAGTGAGGAAGTCCATTAAATCTTCCTGCAGGGAGGATGGAAAAAAAGATACATAATGCAAAACAAGTCTGAATTCTTTAAAAGAAGTTAAATCTATCTAAATACCATATTCTAGTTTATTCTTCAGATTAAATTGGTCTCTAGAAGTGTATATAATCTAATGATGTATCGTTCTTCTACCTTTCAGCTAGGCCACTGTTTCCCAACCTTTTTGACTCGTGTATCGCTTAGTAAATTTTTTCTTACAATAACTGAAATAAAGACTTTTTTACTAAATCTTTTAACTTGAGTATTTAATTCTTAAGCATTTTATTCTTTACATCTCAAATAAAAAATAACATAAATATGTTGCCTGGAAGTTAGTAGGGAATCAAAATAAATACAAAATATATTATAAACCTGTATTTATAAAACTGGATCTCACAGTACATGGAAATAAAATACAGAACAAAAATTATAGTGAGACTCACTCGGTTAATTTTACTTTTTTCTTTTTCATCAGGACATCTGAGCTGCTTTGATGAGCTCATATCTCAGCATGAAAAATCCGCTGATCCCAGTCTGTTCCTCTGCTTGGTTTGGATGCGTCAAAGGTGAAGTTGGACTCCGGGAAAACCTTATTTTCGATTGATAAATGCTTGTTTAATCTTTTAACTGGGTCCAACTCCCAGTCCAATTTTCTTTTACTCCCTAAGAAATAAAATATTTTAATGTACCTCTCGCAATGCACACGTGCACCACTAGTGTTGGGAATCACTGAGCTAGACGGCAAAAAGAATCAAGAATATCCAGACTAATTCCAGCATCTTTTAGGATCAGTTGTGGTATTTGGGTCCAATGATCCTGATTGAGAAGTTTTATCTGTAGCTTCCACAACTAATAAAGCCCAAAGCTGAAAACTGAGGTTTGCGCTACAGGCAGGGGCGGATTTAGGAAATTTGGGGGTCTAGGCAAAGAATGGCAGCGGGCCCTCTGAACTGGAAAGACAACAAATAAAAGAGACCCATTATACAGATAAAAGAATCTTAATAGACATACATTATTTTTTCTACGTTTTGTTTGTTAGAGTGATAACTATCCTGTGTTTCAACCAGAAGGGTCATAAACTTTTATGACCTCCTGTAGGTCATGAGGCAGAATCACACGGATGTGTGACTTCCATCCAGCCAGTTGGTCAATTCACACTATCTTGTTACCTGCATCCTCCCAGACAATGATTACTGGCTCTTCTGTTTTAGGCCCGCCTGTTTGATGTTGTAAACTGTTAATAAAAGGCTTTGCCATGAAGGGATCTGTGGGAGAAGGTGATGGCTTTGCAAGCCAGCATTTTCTCTCCACCCGGCACACGCTGACGTCACAAAATCCCGTCTCTGTGTTGATCATTTTCCTTTTAATCTTTTAAACTCACATTTCTCTGGATTAAAAACCCAACATTTTTGGTGCTGAAACTCCGGGAGTCAAGATCCAATTGTCCAGGACCGTGCGGGACCAAGGCCAAGAAACTATCGACAGCCGTCCACCCTTTGCCGGACAGAGCCAATAGGTTGGTCCAGCCCTGCCCTGGACATCCTGGTGACGACTCAAGCTGAGGACTGATCTGCACAGAAACGGTACGCCTAAGGTTTTTTATTAAAAGCTGGTCTGGGACCATGTGAAAGCTATAACTAGTTGTAGTCGCTAGAATATTTGACAAACAGGGTTTGTTGTGAGAGATCTGGGATCGGTATTCTATGCGTTTGGGTCTGGGACCCTCTGTGTTCAAGCTATAACTGGTTGTAGTTGCAAGAATATTTGACGAAACCAAGTTTGTTTACAAGTCTGGGACCTGGGTATTCTGTGCATTCGAGTCTGGGACTCTATGTTGGTTAAAAAATAAAAAATATTAGGCCTTAAGTGTGTGTGACTGTGTGAAAGTGTGTGAGGAAACAATCGAACCGCTGTGTACTGGACTAAATTCTTTAAAAATGGGACAAGGCAGTAGTAAGAAGGAAATGCCAGATGATGTTAGATGGATGGTGGCGTGTTGTGGTGGTGACCCAAAGTTTGCCAGAAAGTGGATTGAGAAGGAAGACTGGGATGGAAAGTTGAAAGTTGAGCCGCTGACAAAGATTCAGCAGAAGGTGGAGATGAAGTTGGTGTATAAATCAAAAAGAAAACAAGCTAAATACAGAAAAGAATTAGAAGAGTTAAATAAGTGGATTATGCAAGCAAAAAATAGGGAAAGCCAAATACAACAGAAGAAGGATAGAAAGACAGCTACAATTGCTGCTGTAAAAGTTAAAGCTGATGAAGAAACTGTTGTATCCCGTATGCTTCCTCAATATCCTGACCATAATCAAATTCAAGGGGGTGATGGGGTTCAAGCAGTGGCATCAGCTGTGCAGGAAGGTGGAGATAAACCCCATCACGGTGAATGTGAACACAGCCATGCCCCTGTTCCTCCTCCAGTAGCCCCACCATCGTGTGGTGATATTGGAGGAGCAGGAGCAGGCCCCCTGTCCGTGTCGTCCTCTATGGATGGTATGGAACTCAGTGCCTCTGACCCTTGTGAGCATGAATTAAGAAAATCAGGGGGGGGTGTGAAGCTTGATTCGAAGTGTTACAGGGATGATTATCAAGTGGAGGCTTGTGGAAGGGGCCCATCTGCCCCTATTCATCCAAGTTTGGCTGAATTAAAAAAACAAGAACAGGACCAAGATCCTGGGGAGGGAGCATGTGCTTTGCCGGTGTTGGAGGTGGCCAACCCTCATTGTGGTCAACGCACGGGACCCCAAGATGGTGACCCACTGGATTGTGGACCCACTGTTCTTGTGTGTGGGCCATGGACAGATGCAGAGATGCGGACTGCCTGTCGAGGTTTACCTCCAGCCAGACAGAACCCAGTTAAATGGTTCGAGGATGTTAAAAATAGATTGAGAAAATTCATGGCAGAAACAGGAAAGCCATGGGCAGAAAACGAACAAGATGACATTGACCCGTTAACTAAGTGGATGCTGAAGCTTTTCAGCGACAAAACTGTTCGGAAAACATGTAATCTGCCTAGTGCTCCTTTTGTTTCCCCACAGGAAGGCCTGAAGCCTGGAGACCGAGTGCTGATTAAAATCATCAAAAGAAAAACTTGGAAAGCTCCGAGGTGGGAAGGACCCTACATAGTGCAACTAACAACCCCCACTGCCGTGAAAATCCAGGAGAGAGACACTTGGATCCACCAGAGTCATTGTAAACTGATTAAAAACTTTCCACAGCAAGAAGCCCAATTACCTTCACAGGAACCCCATAACTAAGAGCTGATGAAGATGGAAAAACTAATGACATTCATCTGCCTGGTGGTGACCGTTGGAGTGGTGTCTCAAGGGACTCAAACTGACCGTCTGAAACAAAGGAAGAGCAGGATGATTTTTGATGGATCCACAGAAAGTCATCCATACGGTGCAGTTCCAGCACCATGGACAGTTTGGTTCACCATGGGATCATGGTGGCAGGTACTGATGAAGATAGCTTTACCATTTATAGGATTGTTAATCATATTTTTCCTTTTTATTTGTTGCTTAATACCATGCCTGCAATCAATGTTTCAGAAAATGATAGGAACCACTCTAATCCAATATTCAGCTATCAATTATGCTCAACTCCGCCGAGATGCAGATGAAGATAATGATGATGATGAAGTTATGTAATCTTTTACAGGGATAATGGTCGCCTCCTCGGGAGGGGCTGGGTAGGAATTTTTTCTCTATTGGAGAGTTTTTGCCTACTCAAGGGACAGATTATTTTTAAAGTTTTTACATTCTTTTTTACCTTTGTTCTTGAATTTTCCTTTTAATATAGTTGTGTTTTGCATATTAAACTTTGATTACTGAATTCCCTATCTGCAATGCATTCATGATGTATGTAGTGAAAATCTTTTTAGAAGTGCTATATGCTGATGTTTTTATGTATAAGAGGAGGGAAATGTTAGAGTGATAACTATCCTGTGTTTCAACCAGAAGGGTCATAAACTTTTATGACCTCCTGTAGGTCATGAGGCAGAATCACACGGATGTGTGACTTCCATCCAGCCAGTTGGTCAATTCACACTATCTTGTTACCTGCATCCTCCCAGACAATGATTACTGGCTCTTCTGTTTTAGGCCCGCCTGTTTGATGTTGTAAACTGTTAATAAAAGGCTTTGCCATGAAGGGATCTGTGGGAGAAGGTGATGGCTTTCCAAGCCAGCATTCTTCTCTCCACCCGGCACACGCTGACGTCACAAAATCCCGTCTCTGTGTTGATCATTTTCCTTTTAATCTTTTAAACTCACATTTCTCTGGATTAAAAACCCAACATTGTTCCTCTCTATGTTTTGTACTCCGCTGACTTTTCATGCTGTCTCAAGCACTAAGCACACTTAGCTGGTTGCTCCTTCCTGTTTCCAAAAAGGAAATGGCAAAAGTCAATATGAGTCCTTATTATCACTGTAGATAAGCCATGATCTGCTTATCTGTTCTCCATTTTTCATTTTTATGAAATAATAGCTGCATGAATCATGACAGCAGACAATATAGAGAAGAGCAGGAGGCGGGGTTACCAATCTACTTGCTCTGGAGAGCAGAGTTTGCTGTTTTTATATATCGTCATCAAAGTCTCCAGTAGCAGGAAAAAAGTAGTTAGATTTGGCGCTAGCGATGTTTTAATTGGACTACATAAAAATAAAACCTCTAGAGGGGTCTGAAAAAACGATAAATATAGCAAGAAAAGTTTCTCAACACTGCTCTTCGCATGGTTTGTTTTCAAATGTCTGTTTGGACCTTTCTGAACATGTGCAGCAAAAGGACTCATCCAATATGGTGGACACTGAAGGGGGGCGCTGAGACACAGTATTATAAGCGTTCTGATGGCATTTTAGCAGAAGGATGTTTATCAAACCCTTAATTAATGTGCACAAATAAGAAATAGTTGTATTCATCATACATCTAAACAGTTTTATGAGGCCCCCAGAAACTTGGGGCCCTAGGCAACAGCCCACCCCCCCGCTACATAACTATCTTAGAGTTATCTTCTTTTGGCTTATATCAGCTCTATTTTAAATCATTTAACCCTTTACAGGTTCAGAGAATGCAAAACAAATCACAGATCATTTATTTTTCTTTCAATTGCAATGACATTCATTTCTTTTTTAGTTTTCACCTGGTTAAAAATTAACCAACCACACAATACTTAAATGAAAAAAAGGTAAATATAAAAAGGCTGATTCTTAGATTGTATCACTATGTTGTCCTTGTTTGATTTCCGTAAAAACAGGATTTGCCAATCATAGTAGATTTAAAATCTAACTCTTCCAGCTGTTTCCGATCAAAACAAAAAACAGAAAATTACCTTTAGATTTCTTTGTGTGGATGTTCAGGTTATGAAGCAATATTTAATAAATAGGATTGTCAAAGTTAATTGTAATATAAAAGTAATACAATGTCTGTTGTTCTGTTTCCAATTAAACTCAAAACTGATCAAATGGGATAAAAAAAAGAAAGAAAGAAAAAAGTCAGTTGTGCCTTGAATTTCCCATTTTGAGGTTTTTACTCTGCTGTGATGTTTTGAAACAAAAACCTAATTGGATAAAAAAAAAAAAGTATTTCTTTTGGAAACCTAATTTAGGCCATACTTGAACTGTGATGGTGGGCCACCTAAAACTCCTTCAAGGACCGCAAAATGCTTAAAATCCATAACATTTGTTTGTCTCTGTGACCTACGGAAGAGGAATTTAATTCAGAATTCTGAGATTAAATTCAGAATTCTGAGAAAGAAATTCAAAATTCTGAGATTAAAGTCAGGATTCTGAGAAAGAAATTCAGAATTCTGAGAAAGAAATTCAAAATTCTGAGAAAAAAGTAGGCATTCTGAGATTAAAGTCAGAATTCTGATAAAAGACATTTAGAATTCTTAGAAAAAATTTCAGAATTCTGAGAAAAAATTCAGATTGCTGACATTAAGGTCAAAATTATAATATTAAAGTCAGAATTCTGACATTTTTCACATGTTAAACTGAAATATTTAAAAATAAGTTAACTTTATTTTTTCAGTGGCCGTAATTCTCTTCAGCAGGAACCGGATGTTTTACTGTGACCCTTTCTTTTCTGGTTGTATTTAACATAATAAAACAAGGCTCAAATATTTCCCGTAAATCAATAAATACCCCGGAGTTTTAGCCTCTTTGTAAACATGTCCGCCATCTTTGTAACCGCTCGTGTCTTCATTCTGTCGACCCAATCTCCTTCTAGATACATTCTCTTTCCCAACTAGTCGAACCGTGTTTGTCTCCATCTGAACAGATGCGACCATTAAACAGTAAACCCACCTTGCTTCTCCAAACTTGCTTCGTTTTTTCTCCTTCGTGTGAAACATCGAGAACATCAACCGCCGTCGATAAAAGAATCTTTATAATGGCTTTCACTTGGGAGAAAAACACAGAGCTTTCACCCATTTTTAATTCTTTATTTTATTATGATAACCTGGCAGTTAAACATGAAGCTAGTCCAGGACCCTACTACCGGAAATGGAATTAAACCCGGAAAATCTTTTCAAAATAAAAGTTTCCATTTCATCTATTTATCGGCAAAAATCTGTACATTTGGAAGAAATATACTTGCTGTCATGTCACAGAGAACTCTATGTTACAAATCATTTAAAGCTTTCATTTTTCTTTTACAAAAATAATAGTTTTGAAACCAATGTTTTGTTTCGTAATGTATTAGGAAAATAAATTACACTTAAACTCCAGCTAACTGTAAAATCCTTAAAAGTTGAAAGAACAGCTCTGAATCCATAATGAGAACTGCAACAATAAATGGGTAAGATTAATGTTTAAAAAGTTTCCTCAAACACAGTTTCAAATGCCATTTCATGCTGCCACTGGCTAGATGTATTTGGATGGTTTGTGATTTATCACTTAAATATTAACTGTGATGACATGCCTTTGCAGAGTAGCAGTTATGTTAAAAAAAACCCAACAAACATCCCTTTGGTGCTATCAAACTACTGCTCAAATCATCAAGTTTATTAAAATAGAGATCTGTTCAAGCTCAATCCCACATGAGAACCCAGTTTGACGCTACAGAACGTCACAGCTGTGCTTCTTGAGCTGCCTTGAATCGGAGAAGCCCCGCCCACACTGCTGACACGAGTAGAGCTTCTGGCCAGTGTGAACCTGCAGGTGGGATTTGAGCTGATTGGACTGGTGAAACTTCTTCTGACAGTAGCTGCATTCGAACGGTTTCACCCCCGTGTGGATCCTCATGTGCCTGTAGAAGTTTCCATCAGTCCTGAACTCTTTGCCGCACTGGTCGCACTTGTAGGGTTTCTCGCCCGTGTGAATCCGCTCGTGCTGCTTCAGGCTGGCGCTGTGGAAGAAGCTCTTTCCGCAGACGTCGCAGATGAAGGGCTTGTCCCCCGAGTGGCTGCGCTGGTGGTAGCTGAAGGAGTATTTGTTGTGAAAGGCCTTCCCACAGATGCTGCAGTTAAACTCCTTGTGCTCGCTGTGACCTTTTTCGTGGAGCTTGAGTGAGCACGCCGCGCTGAAGCCCTTCAGGCACGTTTTGCAGCTGAACGGTTTGACCAGCGACTTGGGCCGTCTGTTCTGGAAAACGCTGTCCGATCCGTGGGAGTTGTCGGCGTGGACGTACCTCTGATGCATCTGCAGCCTGCAGTTGAAGAGGAAGGTCTTCCCGCAGAGGTCGCACATGAAGGGCTTCCTGGCGCCGTGGATGAGCATGTGGGACTTGAGCTTGTTGTTGTCCGAGAAGCTTTTTCCGCAGTCCTTGCAGGTGAACGGCTTCTCGCCTGTGTGGATGCGCAGATGCCTCTTCAGGTTGTTATTGAGGTTGAACCTCGCTCCACAAATGTGGCAGGTGAAAGGTTTCTCCCCCGTGTGAATCACCTTGTGTCTTTTCAAAGCCGTGCCCGTTCTGTAGGACCTGTTGCAGACGTCGCAGACGAATGGACTGTCTCCGGTGTGCTTCCTCTTGTGTACGGTCAGTGAGTGGGCGTACTTAAAGGACTCCTCACACATGGTGCATTTGTATTTTTTGGAGGTAGTGTGGACCATCTGGTGGAAGCGGAGGGTGTCTTTGCTCTTGAACTCTTTTCCGCACGTCGCGCAGCTGAACGGCCGTTCCTCTGAGTGCACGGCCATGTGGGACCTCAGCTGGACCGCCGTCTTGCAGGTTTTCTCACACAAGTGACACTTGAACTGCTGCTTCCACTTCTCGTGGCGAAGGAGGTGGTTTTCCAGAGACTGCTGAGCTTTGAACGATTTGTTGCACTGATCGCAAGGGAAAGGCTTCGGCGTCTTTGACGTCTGGTGGCATTGGAGGTGGTTCTGAAGCGACTCCTCTTTCTTGTACGACCTCTTGCAATAAGGACAGGGGAACGGCAGCGTGGCCTTCGTGGACTCGTGACTCAGAAGGTGACTCTCGAGAGCCTCGCTCTCTGTGAAACTTTTGCTGCACTGCTCACAAGGAAAAGGCTTTTTATGGAACTTCATGTGTTTCTTCAGGTCTCCTTTCCAGTGGAAACCAGTGTCACAATGCTCGCAGAAGAAGCGCTTTCCTGCCTGTGAGGCTGTTCTCCTCAGGCTTCTCCCCTGCATTCCGTCTGGCTGGAATCGTGTCTCCTCGTTTGTGTTGTTAGATGAAACTAAAAGAGAAGATGAAGCCAATTAGTAGCCCACCCAACATCTAATTAAAAGCTAACAGCCATACCTTCTTCAGTTTTATCAGGCGTCCTTGAAGCACACTTTGTTCCTCCAGACGGTTCCTCCTCAGGTGATTTCTGAGGCATCTGTAAAGGGAACAGATTTAAAAGAATTTAGTCCAATTACAACAGATTTTTTTTTCTCTTTACAAACTGCATGAACCCATGAAGGGTCTCCATTCTATTGAATATGAAGCTAAAATCATAGAGAAGGAAGTTACTACATCATTAATCACAGTTATTTAAAAAATATTTTCAAAAACTTGAAAAAAAAATAAAAAATATAATATAATAAATATAATAAAAAATAAAATAAATGAAAAGCAGAAGTTAATGCACAAAGTATAGAGCCAGTATTCAGGTTTCCCTCAGCATAAATCTGTTGCAGATGATGCGATCTACCTGCTCACACTGTACGTCTAAAAACCACGTCGGACACCACAGTGAGATGGTGCTACTCTGACTCGTCTATCTGGAAAACATACAAGTAGAAGAGGATTATGAAGCTCACTAGAGTGAAACGCATTGCCTTGGCAATTGGTGCAATTTTGTGCTGAAAGCCCTAAAAAGAAAAGGCAGCAACGTGTTTGGACAAAGGCACAGCTGAGCAAACGTGGCTACTACGGTCTGTCAATTTTACAGAAAGAACTCCATTTCACTCGCACCCCTGCCATGCTATTATGTTTTCATCTGAGACGAAGAAGAATCCTTGCGCATGCCCACTGAGCGATTTGCCCACGACGATCGGCTGAAAATCAAACATGTTTTATTTTCTCCTGACATCACGTTTCCTGATCGGAAGCTGGTCGTGAGAGGCTGATTGCCCCTCATTACCGTCTGTACACTACATGACGCACGATCAAGCTAAAAGTCAGCATGATCGAAAAATTCTCTCACGAATGGAAAGTTGCCCCGAAAAAGGCAAAAAAAAAAAAAAAATTGCACAGTGTAAGCCCAGCTTAAGCTTATATGAATTACGAGAAGAGCAACTTTAAACAGAGCGTACACGAGGAGAAATGGGCATCAGCATGCTCTCCCATGCGTTTAATAGACACCCCCTCTTGGGAGTGGGTACAGGGTTGTGCATGAGCATTTCTTTTAAAGGTAGAGAGGGCAGGTTTTTTAAACAATTCGCAGAAATCGTCCACAATCCCTTTAAGCACCTCATCCTCAACACAACAGAGCAATACTTTTTTTCTACTTTAAATACTTTTCACATGTTCCACAAAAATGCAAAGTATTTCTATTATAAATAAAAAAAAAATCAGAATTTTGTATTCAGTATATAAAGGAGCCACTTAATTAACATAACTTGGAGTAGTAGTCTGTAAATGATCTTCCTTTACATTTGATGACTGGATATATAAATCTACTGTTTGTAATGAAATCAGAAATTCTTTTCATTAACATTTTCACACAGGCCTTATTTTTGGAAGCAGTTTCTGTTCAACTGTAAAAACTCCACCTTTTCTGCTGCAGAGTCCAGACCACCGAGGTTACTGGAGGCGGGACTGGCGGCGTCTTCCGGCATGAACTCAGGAGGAGTTCCAGGTCTCAGCTCCAGTACTTCTGTTTCTGTTACCACTGATGTAGACATTAGGGTCTGAGTGACCACTTCATTGGCCCCCACCAGCAGGACGGTGGCAGCGGAGGGAAGCGAGCCGACAAACACCATCCCAGCTGCTGCTGCAGGGGTGGAGATGGTTACGGACTGATCCGGGGAAGAGGAGATGACCTCTGAGCCTTCAGAGGTCAGGGGGAAGTTTTTCTCATCTGCTTCTGGGGCTGCCGATCTGGCTGAGACCAAAGACAGGAAGGTAAGCAAGTTAAGGAAAAAACGAGAGCTCACAATTTGATGTAAAAACTTTGAATCATGGGATCTAAGACATGTTAAGACAGGCTTCAATGTTTTAGCCCAGGATTAACCACGGAAAGACTCTGCATTCTGATCGGAATAACACTGGGAATAGTTTAGGAGTTAATTGCACCAAATGAGATACCAGAGGGGTATCTACAAAAAAAAAAAAATGAATAAAAGTGCACCAATAAAACAGAGAGACAGTAGGCAGAGAGAGGGGAAGGGAAGATCAGCAGCCAGGCGAAAAAAACGACTGTTTGATAAAGATCATATCAGGGGCTAAATCTGAGTCACTGGAGTCCAACTACTGATTAAATCAGCAGAACAGACAGGAAATACATAAATAACTGGGCAACATGAAATTCTTTGAAAAATTCTGTTCTTCTGCTTCTCTTGAAACGATTTTCTTTTTAATCCGTAGAATTAACCTTTTTTGAAACACACTATTTGAAAAATACCTAAATGGTTGAACACAACCCTAAATAAACAGGCTGCATTAGATTGAAACATTGGGTTATATTAGGAACATCAACCAGGAGATGGATAAAGAAGTACCGGTAGATCTATAATAGAATGATCCAATGCAAGTGGATTCAAGGAAAGGAAATGACTGAAAAGGAATAAAATTCGATGTGCTTCGTTAAACGGCTCCATGTTCTTTAGTTTCAAGAATTTTTGTTTCTGGTTAGAAAAACCTGACTAAAACCCCCCAAAACTCCTTATTTTGAAACACCAAGATCTAACTGTATCGGGAATGAAGAGATGTTTATGTTTCTTTGGTCAATGACTATCTGTTTAGCAGAGACTCTTCCTTATATGAAGCCGCTAACTGAGCTACGTGCTTGCACTAACTCCATGTAACCAGGTCTTCCCTCACATTCTACCATTAGCTGGGATTTTTCCATAAATGTTTTTCTTTTAAACTTCACTAGCTGCCCACCTCCATGCAATGTTTATCTTATTTCAATAAGAGGCTCTCCAGCAACAATTCAGCTTTCAACAAATAAGCTAGAGATATTAATAAGTGCTCCCTGCCACCTGCAAGCAGAAATCCATTGTTAAAGCTGATTATTTTAGCCAACAAGAAAATCCAGTGTATTGATTTGACACGTCATTAGTTAAAACGGCAGAAGATTAGGGCCACTGGAAAAAAAAAAGCTAACTGTTTTTTAAAATTTATTTCAGTATAATATGAGAAAAAAGTCAGAATTCTGACTTTTAATCTCAGAATTCTGACTCTGATCTCAGAATTCTGACTTTAATCTAGGAATTCTGACAGCTAATAAACACTCTTCCATTAATGAAAGGGCATCACCGGGGACCCCTCAGACATGTAAAAATTCTTAGATTAAAGGCAGAATGCTGAGATATTAAATATTTAACTGAAATATTAAACCTTATCAAACTGAAATAATATTTATAAATCAGTTAACGTTTTTTTTTCTTCTCTTTCTTAATCCTCTTCCGTAAATTATAGCTCACTTTAATTCTATAAAAAGGAGATTTACTGGAATAACAGATCTGGTTTGTTTGCAGCATATATGCAGGAATCCAGGAGGAAAGGCCTTTATTAATGCAGTCAAACTGAACTTTAAGTAGGGCTTTCAATAACTAAATTTCCTACATAACAGTAAATCAGTTATGTGTTGTCATTTTCATCCATAGTTGTTAAATGACTGAACGCAATCACCTGGTCTTCCCTAAAACATTACCTCCCCATAAATAATTAACTGATATTGTGAATATATAGGCAGCATAGGAACCATTGATAGGAGCCTACTGACAGGCGGATTACTCACCTGTTGTTGTCTCGTCTTCCAGATGTCCAGGCCCTTCCTGTTGGCTCTTATTGGGGGCCTCGCTGATAGTTTTCAGCTCCTTCTCCAGCAGCTCCATGTCTCTGCCCAGCTGACCCACTCTGGCCTCCAGCTCCTGCTCCAGCCGCCCGGCTTTCCTCTGCAGCACATCCTCCAGCTGCTCCACTTTGGCCCGCAGAACGTCGTTTTCCTCCCACAGCTCCGAAAACACTTTCTGGATCTGAGCAACCAAGAATCTCTCTATCTCCTGGATTTCACCCAACTTCCCTTCATCCAGGTCTGAGTTTCGCGCCTCTTCGGCCCACACGTCGCTGAAAACGGACACGGCCGCTCGGAGAGCGGCTTCCACCGCGGACGCCAATTCTTTCCCGAAGCGCGCCTCCATTTCCCCCAAAATATTAAATCAGATCTCTGGTTGTTGGGTTGGAGAGATATTCAAGCTACATGACAAACTTTGAATCGGATTCCAGCGAACTTAAAATAAAACTAAACATGTTTTTAGCTTTACCATTAACCGTTGGATCCTCTAAATGACAAACAGTGCGACTGTGAAACACCTCCGTACTACACTTCCGCTTCCGCTTCTTCTTCGTTGGTAATTAACGACACCTGCCACTATTGTGCTGTACTGCCACCTGTCGTATACATTTATCTCTGCAATTTGACTTCAATTTCAGTTCTACTGGCGCAGTGGTTCCCAACCTTTTTTTTGAAGAACTTACTATAACAAATAATAAAATAAAACTATTTCATTTAATCTTTGTAACTTAAGCATTTAATTCTTTGGCATGTTATTCTTTCCAACTCAAAAAACAAAAACAAAACATAAATATGCTGGAATGCAAGGAATCAAAATAAATACAAAATAAAAACATACTATAAATCTGCCTTTATAAAATTGAAGCTCCTCTTAGTAACTGCTCTATATTAACATTAAAACTCGAGAAATTACTGAAAAAAAATTATATATATATATATATATATATATATATATATATATATATATATATATATATATATATATATATATATATATATATATACACTCACCGGCCACTTTATTAGGTACACCTGTCCAACTGCTCGTTAACACATAATTTCTAAGCAGCCAATCACATTGCGGCAACTCAGTGCATTTAGGCATGTAGATATGGTCAAGACAATCTCCTGCAGTTCAAACCGAGCATCAGTATGGGGAAGAAAGGTGATTTGAGTGCCTTTGAACGTGGCATGATTGTTGGTGCCAGAAGGGCTGGTCTGAGTATTTCAGAAACTGCTGATCTACTGGGATTTTCACGCACAACCATCTCTAGGGTTTACAGAGAATGGTCCGAAAAAGAAAAAACATCCAGTGAGCGGCAGTTCTGTGGGCGGAAATGCCTTGTTGATGCCAGAGGTCAGAGGAGAATGGCCAGACTGGTTCGAGCTGATAGAAGGGCAACAGTGACTCAAATAACCACCCGTTACAACCAAGGTGGGCAGAAGAGCATCTCTGAACGCACAGTACGTCGAACTTTGAGGCAGATGGGCTACAGCAGCAGAAGACCACACCGGGTGCCACTCCTCTTAGCTAAGAACAGGAAACTTAGGCTACAATTTGCACAAGCTCATCGAAATTGGACAATAGAAGATTGGTAAAACGTTGCCTGGTCTGATGAGTCTCGTTTCTGCTGCGACATTCGGATGGTAAAGTCAGAATTTGGCGTCTACAACATGAAAGCATGGATCCAGCCTGCCTTGTATCAACGGTTCAGGCTGGTGGTGGTGGTGTCATGGTGTGGGGAATATTTTCTTGGCACTCTTTGGGCCCCTTGGTACCAATTGAGCATCGTTGCAACGCCACAGCCTACCTGAGTATTGTTGCTGACCATGTCCATCCATTTATGACCACAATGTACCCAACTTCTGATGGCTACTTAAGCAGGATAATGCGCCATGTCATAAAGCTGGCATCATCTCAGACTGGTTTCTTGAACCTGACAATGAGTTCACTGTACTCAAATGGCCTCCACAGTCACCAGATCTCAATCCAATAGAGAATCTTTGGGATAAGGTGGAACGGGAGATTCGCATCATGGATGTGCAGCCGACAAATCTGCGGCAACTGTGTGATGCCATCAGGTCAATATGGACCAAACTCCCTGAGGAATGCTTCCAGCACCTTGTTGAATCTATGCCACGAAGAATTGAGGCAGTTCTGAAGGGGCGTGCATACATTGACACTAGGTGGTGCTAAAGCACTAGGAAGTTTGCCCTTTATCAAAGAAAATGCCCTTTTGAAACTCGTTTTTTTATTTTATTTTTATTATTAATATTATTAAGATTTTACTGAGGTCGGTTTTGAAATGATCTTTTGAAAACCTGAGCCATTAAAAACGACTGAAACAATGCCCCGAAATGAGCCACTTACTTAAGCACACCCGACCAGCCTATCTCTCTTCCTTTGTCACGTGACCTCGCGCGGTCGCCCGCAGGGCATGCCAGATGCGCAGCATCATAGCAGTTCAGTAAGCGTCTTCAGATAGCAGGAACGGTCGCTGACAGGCTGCTTCTCCTGTGCCCCATTAGCCAGGTAATATACAGATCAAGCAAATCATTTTGTTGTGCATTAAAATGTCTCACTCAGCAGCACCAAACAAGCATTTTTGCCGACTGGTTACCCGATAAACTAGTTGTCTCCTTGTAAGATGCTATTTTACTTTTTATATTTTATATCCATATTTTTTATCTTAAGTGTATATATTAGTCTATTTTATTGCATGACGTATACCCACAGTTTTTAGATATTTTTATAATTTTATTTACCTATTCCATATTATATGTTTCATGTTGCACGATTGTACCACAAAAAATTCCTAGTTTGTGAACTCCTTCACTAACAATGGCAATAAACCTGATTCTGATTCTGAAAGTTTTACACTGTAGCCCAAGCCAATGACAGATAACGTGAGGACGACCACATAGGCTACAAATAATTTCGGTAGAGTTTGCAATTGCAAATCTACGGAAGAGGATTAGGGCCACTGAAAAAAAAAAAATAAGTTAACTGATTTTTAAATTTTATTTCAGTTTAGTATGGGAAAAAAGTCAGAATTCTGACTTTAATCTCAGAATTCTGA